TGATTTTACCTTTAATACCAGAACACACAGTGGTCGAAAGCAAACAAAACACAGAACACAACGTGTAGAGGGCTTAACAAACATCTGCTTGAAACGATATTTGTTTTTAAGATTAGTATTCACAATTTGTGGTGTTCACCGCTAAAAGACTCCATGTCGTGAATTAAAAGGGAGTTCAGCCATTTATTATAAAGCACTATATTGTGTTATATTTTTAACGAAGTACGTTTTTAACCCTCATCCGGACACTTATTTTTTCTGGCGTAGTAAGACAGAGTGAGTCTGTATGACACGTGGTAACAATATTATGGTATTTCATATTATAATTAATAAAATATATATCAATTGTTTTGAATTTTTATTTTTAACTAATAAATTATTAACTAGTAAGTGCTCGGTCTTACAATTTCAGAGGTAACTACAGCATTATAAAACATGAAGAGAAATAAAGCTGCAGGAGAAGATAGTATTACCACAGATATGATATTAGAAGGAGGTAAGGAACTAATTGCAATTGTATCTAAACTTGTGGACAGTTGTTTACATCAGGGCAAAGTCCCTAAAAGCTAGAACAACTCTTAAGTAATCTTATTACACAAGAAAGGTGATAGTCGAAAATTGGAAAACTACAGACCCATCAGCCTACTGTCACACCTGTTTAAAATACTCACCAAAGTCATAACTACTCGACTAACAAGAAAAATAGACGAATGCCAACCATATGAACAGGCAGGTTTTAGAAAAGGCTACTCAACTTCCGATCACCTGTTAACCACAAAAATATTAATAGAAAAATGTAACGAATACAAGTTTCCAGTTTTCCTAGCATTTTTAGACTACGAAAAATCTTTCAATACCATAGAACACACGGCCGTAATAAACGCAATGCAAAATTGTAGAATAGACAGCAGATATATTAACTTAATAAAAGAAACTATGAACCAAGCTACAGCTACATACTACCTAAATAAAAATGAACACACCAACCCTGTACCATTAAACAGGGGAGTCAAACAGGGAGATACTTTATCACCCAAACTGTTCACCTTAGTTTTGGAGGACGTTTTTAAAAACCTAAATTGGAAATATAAGGGAATAAACATCAATGTCCGCTACCTCAGTAATCTACGATTTGCAGATGACATAATCCTGATAGCTACTGACCTACAAGAAATGCAAACCATGCTTTTAGAACTACATACCGAATCTTCTAAAATAGGACTGAAAATGAATTTAAACAAAACAAAAGTCATGCACTCCGAAGACACTGTGACAATAATAAACGATAATGTTATAGAAAACGTTGAAGAATATATATACTTAGGACAAAAAATAATCCTAAATAGGGAAATTCAAACGGAAGAAATAAAAAGAAGAAGAAAGTTAGCTTGGGCAGCATTCGGTAAACTGAACTATATACTCAGAAATCAACAAATTCAATTACATCTTAGATCTAAAGTTTTTGATGCATGCATTATTCCGATATTAACTTATGCGGCACAAACATGGACAATCACAAAAAAGAATATGAATATACTTAGAGTCACTCAACACGCGATGGAAAGAGCAATGCTAGGTATATCACTTAAGGACAAGAAAACAAACACATGGATAATACAGAAAACCAAAGTCACCGATGTGATGCAAAAATCATTAAAGTTAAAATGGGAATACACTGGACATGTAGCTAGGAGCGATCTAAACAAATGGCACAGATCAATTTTAACCTGGAGACCATACCAACACAAAAGACTCAGAGGCAGACCTCCTATGAGATGAACAGATGATCTGAAAAGGACTGCCGGGAAAAATTGGCTACAAGTAGCGTACAATAATAAACAATGGAAAAGAAGACTTGAAGAGGCTTATGTTCAGATGTGGACGTGAATGGCTAGACGAAGAAAGAAGTGCTCGGTCTATAAAAAATAAAAAAACAATGCAAATCTTAACCTAGAATTGTAAAGTATCTACAATATGACATTTTATTACTTTCTTAGGCAACTATACACACGTTTTGCACTGCTGTACTTGTTGCAAACGTTGTTGCTGTACCTAAGTTTGTTTTTGTGTTCTTGATTTTTTTATTAGACGTAAATAACATCTGCTTTTCTGTGTTGACTGAGGTGTGACACCTGTGGCAGTTGCTTTTCCTGCAAACTTTCCATTAGGGATCTGGTTGATTTAAACAGTTCTACATTCGATTTGTCCCCCACTTAGTAACCAGCAGCTATAAGTGGAAGAGTCGGTAAGTGAAAGGGCACCTTCTTGTCCTAGAAATGGAAAATCATTTCTAAAGGCGGAAGAACCCAGACATGGTCAACAGCGTGGAGAAGGCAACAGGAAACCAATGGATTAACGGCTCATAGAGGATCCCTAGCTAATCATCATGACCAACAATACTACCAAATACTCTACTAATCATCAAACTCGGAAAACAAGATCCGGCAGAGGAGGAAACTCACAAGACTGCAAGGCCTCCCCGGTCGCCTACATGAGAAAACCTTGCAAATTAGCAACTTGGAATGTTAGAAGTCTACATCAAGCTGGAAAGTACATAATGCCGTTAAAATAATGCAAAGGCTAAACAAAGATATTTTAGAAATCAGCGATGTCCAATGGCCTGAGTCAGGAAAGATAAAAATCAACAATAAAACAATATATTATCCAGAAAGTCAAGAAGGTTCACACAGATAAGGTGTCGGGATAATATTAAACAAAAACATTGATGAAGCTGTAATAGATTTTACTTTATACTCTAACATAATTATACTCTTACAGTTAAACTAGAACAAACCCAAAATAAACATTCTACAAGTTTATGCTCCAACTGCGGACAAAGCAGAGAGCGATACTGAATCTTTCTACGAATATCTATATAACAATTTAAAATCCATTAAAAAGCAAGATCTAACAATTATAATGGAGACTTTAATGCAAATATTGTGGAAGAAAAAGTAGAAGAATGTACAGGAGGATATGGTCTGGGCAACAGAAACGAAAAAAAAGTGCCGACATAGGATTAGATCACAACCCAGTAGTGACCAAACTTAGGCTTAAAATGAAAATAAATAAACAAAGAATAACAAATGCAAAAATCGTTACAAGTAAATTAAGAAACCCACTCATAAGGCGACGCCTGCCACATGAAATCAACAACGAATTTATTAATGTTAAAGAACAAATGCTGCAAAATACTGAGACAGAAAAAATGGTTATTAATAAAGACAGAAATAGATAAGAGTAAAAAAAAATGTAATACCAACCAGATATAAAAAGTAGCAATGGATGACGAAAAAAAGAAACAGATGTACAAAAAAGTGGATCTTCTTCTTCTGCTTAGCCTTCTGTCGTCCATGTTTGGACATAGGCCTCTCCCAACTCCTTCTATCGGTTTCTATCCTGAGCAACATATTTCCAATGTGTTCCGGCTATTCTTTTAATGTCATCAGCACATCTCGTCTGTGGTCTTCCTCTTGGTTGTTTACTTTCGTAAGGTCTCCAATGTTGTATTGTAGTATTCCAAGGTTGGTCTTTCTGTCTAGCAGTGTGGCCCGCGAAGCTCCATTTTGGTTTGGCAATTTTTGTTGTTATGTCCTAGACTTTTGTTTTCTATCTTACCCAGTCGTTCCCCTTTTAATCTGACAGTCGTATACCTAACATTGCTCTTTCCATTATTCTTTCTGTTGTGACTAGTTTATTCATGTTTGCCTTGGTTAGGGTCCAGGTTTGACATCCATATGTCATGATAGGAAGAATGCATTGGTTGAACACTTTGCTCCTCAAGTATTGGGGTATTTTGCGGTTCTTAAGTATCCAACTAAGTTTTGCAAGTCCTGCCCAAGCTAGTCTTGCTCTTCTCGTAATTTCCGCACTTTGGTTCTCTTTGTCAAATCTCAGGATGTTGCCTAGGTACATGTATTCCTGGATTTGTTCTATCTCACTGCCGTTTATAGTTATATATCTGGGGTCATCCGTGTTTGTCATTAATTTTGTTTTTTTCATATTCATTTTTAAGCCGACGTATTGGGAGCTGGCTGCTAGTTCCCCCAACATAATTTGCAGTTCCTGGAATGTGCTCGCTATAATCACAATGTCGTCAGCGAATCTGAGGTGGTTTAACTTGTTGCCATTAACGTTAATGCCATAGGTTGACCAATTTGTAGTTTTGAAGACGTCTTCTAGGGGTAAGTTGAAAAGCTTTGGCGATATTACGTCTCCTTAATGGGGATGGGATTTGTATTTTCATCTAGTTGTACTATCATAGTTGCATTTTCATATATATTATGTATTAGTTGCCTATATCTCGAATCTATTCTACAATTATTGATAGCTTGTTCTATGGCTCACATCTCGATACTATCAAACGCCTTATCATAGTCGACGAAGGCAATAAATAGGTACGGTTAGTTGGTATGCATTTGCCTTCTCTATCAATGTTCTCATTATCAGCAGATGGTCTGATCTACTATATCCTTTACGGAAGCCAGCCTGTTCAACCGGTTGGTAATTATCTATTTTGTAGGTTATCCGGTTATTAATAATTCTCATAAATAGTTTGTATACTTGACTGAGCAACGATATAGGTCTACAATTCTGTAGATCACATTTGTCCTCTTTTTTTGTTTAAGATTATTACTAGACTCTCGTTTCAGCCTTTAGGGATCTGGTTATTATGGAGACATCTATTAAATAGCTCTGTTAGTGCAAGGATTGTGAAAAAAAGTGGATAAACAAATAAAATACAGAATTAAGAAAGCAATACAAGAAAAATGCGCAAAAATAAAGGAATACCAGAAAAAACATGATAGTTTTAACACACATAAAAACTGTAAAGAATTAACTCACAACAATAGAACCAGAAAACATGAAATGTTTCCAGTGGATTTTATTTTAAATATTTAAACCATTTATTTTATTGAACTGCCTTTTAATTGTCAAAAATGTCAAAAATTTTAATTTCCGTTAAGGTTATAATAGGTATTTATTACACCTGAAAATTTGCGTCAAAAGTGGCAGTTATTTTTAAATATTAATGTCAAATATATAGACTGAAATCTTTTTTCCTCGTGTGGTTCACACAATTATTGCAATGTTAAAGCGTTTTTATACTTAATATATTCATGAATAATTTACAAAAAAATGAATGTTACGCCTTTGAAATTTGCAGATATTATTTTTCGCCCACCTTTTAACTGTTTTAGTTGTAAATCTCCAAAAGGTGGCCTTAATGAAGAACCTGTGAAAAGAATTAAAAAAGATTTGGTTCCAAAGAGTCTGGATGAGGTAGAGGATATAGATGTAACTATTAAAGGTATGTTTATATTTTATATTATATATTTATATATTCAATCTTCACGAGCAACATCTTTTAGTTCTCGAAGTATAATAGGGGAATCGTTTCGCTCCTTGATGCGTGTTTTGGGAATGTTCCAAGCATGTTCAATAACGTTCATGTCGGGGGAATTTGAGGGCTACTATAAGGTAGATATGCCTTCTTTTTCCAGAAAATTTTGAACTGCTGCTGTTGTATGAGTAGTTGCGTTGTCAGGCATAAACACAAATGCATCACCTACTGCCCCTCGCAATAGACGTACGACATGATTTAAAACTTATTCGATGTATACAGCACCAGTAACTCTTTTCTCCCGAACCAGCAGTGGCGTCCGTGTACCACTCATAAGACCACCCCAAACTATAATACTGCCACCTTCAATTGAGACAGGTAGTTGGGCTGTTTCTAGTCAAGTTTGTCGTTCTGGGACCCTGCAAATCAGAGTTCTTTGCGAATCAGATACCAAGCCAATTTTTGACTCATCAGAGAACATCTAATTATTCCAGTTAGGACCATGATGCACCATTTCTGTAGCTAATTGCAACTTTACTATTTTGTGTTGTAAGGTTAGTTCAGGAACACATAGCGGTCTTCTACGATAAAAATTTACCGCATTTATTCTGCGTTTTTTTGTTTGCCGTGAAATATTCAGTCCTTGAAGCCTAGAAATTTCTCTGGATATACCACTTGTAAAGTTCAGACGATTTCTACTAGCGATCAATGTTATTTGCCGATCTTGTGCTGCTGTTGTACTACTTCTGGGACGATCCTTGACGTCATTTGTACTCTAGATCTGTCAAAATACATACCTATCACGTTTTTAAATATTTTTAAACGCTTCAATTCAAATTTAAACAAAGACTAAAATAATGTGTAAATACGCTAATCATACAAAATCATACCAAAATCATACAAAAATGGGTAAAGAAATAATAAATAAGACCACAATAATTATAAGATATAATAAGATCACAATAAATTTAATTTAAATAGGTAAAGAAATAATAAATAAGACTTACTCACAATCAATTTAATTTAACTATAAGACGACCGGTTTCGCTTTCTACAATATGCAAAGCATCTTCAGGTCTCGATACAAAGTTAACTAAATGCTGAAATGATAAAAACCCATATTAGGGTGTTGTCTAATAAAGATAAACAAATTAGATATTGTAAATTACAATAATTATGTCAATATTACATGTCTTTGGTTTTATTTCAAAATAAGGAAGTTGAATAAAAAGGTATAAAAGTTTTAAAAGTTTAAACAGACAAGGTAAGACCCACAAATTGTTATAAAATAGTCTATTAGATTGTAATAAATTATTAAATGAGCAAATAAATAAACATTACTTACATGCCGGTACTCTATGAATTGATGGATGGTAGAACATGGTTGAAACTACTATGTATTGTTGAATGGAGAACTCAATTCTGCTATTGTAGTTGATTGACAGTAAACGGGAAGTTCTTGAGGAGATAGATTTGATCCAATGAAGCAGAGATATGTGTGTGATTGTTTGTTAAATGAAAGTGATGTTATATACCATTGTATTATTTAAAAGTTATTTATACTTATTCGAGAGATATATTTATGAAATGTGTGTTATTTATTGAGTAATTGTTTTATGAAGGTGACAGTTTTATGACAATGAATAAGTTTAGATGTACAAATTGTGTGAGTGTGCAATTATTTTTCAAGTTGTAATTATCAAATTTCTTTGATAAAGTTCTATTGGCAAAATAGTAGATTATTGCAAAGTCGAGTAAATAAAATATTAGAATTAAAACAATTAGGGACAATTTAAAACACACTAAAACAGAACATCTAATTTGTTTATCTTTATTAGACAACACCCTAATATGGGTTTTTATCATTTCAGCATTTATTTAACTTTGTATCGAGACCTGAAGATGCTTTGCATATTGTAGAAAGCGAAACCGGTCGTCTGATAGTTAAATTAAATTGATTGTTAGTAAGTCTTATTTATTATTTCTTTACCTATTTGAAATGGACTCACACAAGCAACACACTCATGATTTTCATACAAAAATGATTTAAATTTTGTATCATTTTTATTTAAAAACGCTCTAAAATGAATAATAACAACAGTCTAAAGACCACCATAGGCGTAGATATATTATTTGTATGTATTCCAAACTTTTGGATATGTGTGTAGTTGCAATAATACTACTACTCTAGTTCAGATTTAAAATAAATTAGTTAAAAACTAAATTTTTGATAAATTTTTTTATATTTAATAAACTATACACATTTTGTAGTTCCTGCAGAGCTTGATATACATTTGTTGAGGCCCGAATTTGACGATCTAAGAGAACGCATAGCCAGAATATCTAAACGAAGCAAAAATTGTATGCAGAGTGGCAAATTCAATTTGGATCAATGGCGTCTAATGTTTGATACTAAAGAAAGATGGGAAAATCCATGTATTGGTTATTGCTCGTCTGGTGATCCGATTTCAAATTTAGTGCTACAATTTTCAAACAAAAAAGAAGCCATCGATTTTTGTAAAAAAAATAATTGGAAATATTTCAGCAGTGAAACACCTACTACAGCAAAGAAAAAGATAAGAGGATATGGAGATAATTTTTCGTACAATAAACGTACCAGAGTTAGTACAAAATAAGCTAGAGTAAACTAAATCTTCTTCTACATGTATATTATCAAACAGTAAATAAAGTTTCACTACAATTTGTCTTTAAGTATTCGTTTGATTTATACTTTCATCATGGTCTCATTGTATAGGGTTTTTCTTTAAGTAATTTTTGCTCTAAATATGGATCACCAATTATTTACCTAAAGTCTTTGCTTTTTGCATATACGATGACCTCTATAACATCCAGAAGAAGAAGCCACCAGAAAGAGAATACAAAATATCTTTGTTTAATCTAATATGTTTGTTTAAGCCATCGATTTTTGTAAAAAAAAATAATTGGAAATATTTCAGCAGTGAAACACCTACTACAGCAAAGAAAAAGATAAGAGGATATGGAGATAATTTTTCGTACAATAAACGTACCAGAGTTAGTACAAAATAAGCTAGAGTAAACTAAATCTTCTTCTACATGTATATTATCAAACAGTAAATAAAGTTTCACTACAATTTGTCTTTAAGTATTCGTTTGATTTATACTTTCATCATGGTCTCATTGTATAGGGTTTTTCTTTAAGTAATTTTTGCTCTAAATATGGATCACCAATTATTTACCTAAAGTCTTTGCTTTTTGCATATACGATGACCTCTATAACATCCAGAAGAAGAAGCCACCAGAAAGAGAATACAAAATATCTTTGTTTAATCTAAAACCCACTGGTTGTTGCCTTTCGCTTTCTATAGGTATCAGACGACCAGATAGTGATGGCCCAAGACTATGAAGACCTCGAATAGATGACCCGTAAACTTATCAAAGAATTTGAGCTATGGGGGCGAGAAGTAAATATCAAGAAAATAAATACATAAATATTGGGGGAATTCAACAATATATTTAGGCATGCAAAGAACCAACGATGGCAAATTAAGTGAAGAATTTAAACCAGGGAAGACAAGCCATTAGGCAATTAGACAGTATAATGCGGGACAAAACAATCTCCAAAATAAACAAACAGAAAATTTATGACAGCATTATAAAAAACATTGTTGCATTATGGAAGTGAGGTATGGCCACTGAGAGTAAACAACTTAAAAGCATTAGAAGCAACAGAAATGGACTTCTGGGAAGGAGCTGCTGGAAAATCAAGTTTAGAGAAAGTTAGAAACGAAAGAATACGAGAAATTATGGGTGTTAAGCACAATATAACAGAGGACATTAGAATAAATCAACTTAGATGGTATGGTCACGTCAAAAGAATGGATAAATAAAGAATGGCAAAGAAAGAATTGAATTAGACACCGCATGGAAGAAGAAAGCAAGATAGACCGAGATTAAGTTGGAGAGTAAGAATCGATATAGACTTAAGGGAGAGGAAGTTGAAGAAAACCTTTGGAACGACCGAGATAAATGAAGAATGGAAATCAGAAAATGTCGTAGAACGTTGTAAACTGATTGATTGATGTAGATGATATGTTTGTTATTTGGCCTCATGCGGAAAGTAAATATTTATAAGTCAAATTCGGGTAAAACTGGTTAAATTATTACGGTGTAAGTGATCATAATAGGATACATTTTAATTTGTAATGTAATTATGTACTAAACCGTAATAAACTTTATAAACAACCACCATTAACTATATCAAACAAATTGGTAGCAAAAAAGTTTTTCATGTTATTCAGTTTATTTGTCGATATCGTTTGTTGACTTTGTAATATGCACGCAAATAAAACGTAGTAAAACAAACACTGAATATGCAATTTTAATTTATGTTTGTCAATAGTTTAAACTTCTCTGTATATAACGGACTGTTTAAAATTAAAATTTAAATAAACGTCAAAGTTGCATAATTTGTACCTGATAATGACGAAATAAAATATTATTGAAAAGCTGTTTATTCGTGCCGTTTCCATTTTAGAATACTTTATGAAATGCCCCTCAACCCTCTCGCACATTTTGTTGTTTTCTGTACTGTTTTTACAAAACTTAGTAGCATATCAAAGTTATCCGTGCCATGTTATTATTTCAGTCCAATATACAGTGGTGAGTGCCTTATCACCCGGCTTTTTAACTTAAGTGATAGAACACAGTTACCTTGTGAAATAAAAGGAAACTCGTAGAGGTGGGAAATAATCGATAGAAACCTATAATTTACATTACATTACATTACGACTATCGATAGTCTCACACCTTTAGACGTTACCTTAGATCTAAATCACCTCGGTCATAATTATTATGTTTGACCGTTTGACGTCGTATATGTGACGTATTTCCATTTTTTAATTTAGATAAAGTAAAAACTGATTGACCATAATAAAGCAAAAATGTGAATAAAATAAATTAATTAATAGTGATTACTTATTCTAAAGTTTTAAATTATTAACCAAGAATAATTTCTACTATGACTTGAGGAGTTTCATATACTCTTGTCACAGAATAATTATCAATCCTTCGTGGATTAGTAGTAAGAATTCAACTCTGCGACGCAGATGATTAGAGTTTAAAACCTACATGAAGTTTTCGTTTTTCTTTTTTTAATAATTTAAAATTATGCAGAGATCGTTTTGCTTTGAATCACTAAACATTTATCTCAGTCGTTGCTAGTATTTGAAGTGTTTAAAGTTAAACATAAATATCTTATTGAAAAAATAGTGTCGTCGTACTTTCGGAAATTAAGTAAAAATTCTTCAAAATTAAAAGAATGTTTAAATAAGTGAAAATTTTACAAAAATAAAAAAAACATTGTAAATAAACGTATCTACAATATTTTCAAATAAGCCTTCATTAGCAGCAGAATAATAACCCAAACTGTCACTATAGAATTATAAAAGTCTGATGGATCAGGGTTCAAGGCACGATGTACTCATGCAGGCGGTTAGGGTTCAAATCCTACACGAAGTTTTTACTTTTTTAAAAATTTGAAATTATGCAGATATTATATCGTTTTGCTTTAAATCATAAAACATTTATTTCAGTCTTTATTAGAGGTGTTTATAGTAAAACATGAAAAACTTATTGAAAAAACAATGTCGGACTTTCGAAAATAAAGTAAAAATTCTTCAAACATAAAAGAACGTTCTAAATAAATGTACTTACAAAAAATGTTTAAATAAGCAGAAATTCTATAAAAATATTCTAAATAAACGTATTTTATTCTAATGAAATGTATTTACCAAAAATGTTCAAATAAGCCTCCATTAGCAGCAGAATATTAACGCAATCTATTATAAAAGTTTCGTCTAACATTAGTTAATGTTTCTGGACTAATACCTATCATTGAATTAGAGATCTTTTCTCTTAATTCTTGGAGAGAATGAGGCCTATCGTCTTCAATTCCATACAGTTTGGACTTGATATATCCCCACATATAAAAATCACAAGGTGCAAGATCAGGTGATCTTAAAGGCCAAAAAATATCTCCGTGCCCACTAATCAGTCGATTAGGAAAAGTCGCACTGAGATATTCACTGACGATGAGAAAATTATGTGCAGGACAACCACCGTGTTGAAACCATATGGAATCGAAAGGAATTAGTAAATTACGAAGGGCTGGGACAATTTGATTTTGCAGAAGTTCTAAGTATTTTCGCCCAGTCAACATACCGTTTATAAAAAATGGACTAATGACATGATTCCCTATTTTGCCTCCCCAAACATTTACTTTTTGAGGACGCTGGGTACGAGCGACACAAATCTGACGAGGATTTCCTCGGGACCAATACCGAGCATTCATTGAATTGTGACGGCCATGCAATGAAAACGTACATTCATCGATGAACAAGACGTTCTCTAAAAAATGTTCATCTTGATGTGACATTTCCATTGCAGTTTGACAAAATTCTAAACGTCTATATTGATCCCTAGGGAATTGTTCGTTGGATATATGAAGTTTATAGGGTCGGTATCCATGTCTTTTCAAAATTTTATCAACTCTAAATCTTGAAATTCCATATTGTTCTCCGAGACGAGATGTTGATTGGGTAGGATTTTGCTCAATACTTGCACAAATCAAAGTGTCCCTTAGTTCAAAATCTGGATTTACCTCCCTTCGTCTACGAACTCCTCTTGGAGCGAACACGGATCCATAAGTAAAAAAATTACGAATTATAGATTGAATTGTTGATCGTGATGGAGCCGGCCTATTTGGAAACATATTTACAAATTGTTGTCTAATCATGTTGTCTGAGAATCCATTCACATGCCTGACAACAATTTGCACTTTTTCCTCGACCGTTAAAACCATTTTCACGAATTGTTTTTTCAATAAAAAGTTTCTGTTTACCGTGCAAAAACACTTCTGGATATGTTATTATTTGATGGCTTAAAGGCTTCGTTTCGCGCGCTTCCATTCCAATGTTGTCAATTGTTTTGAAAATCATTACCTGTACAGAGGAATTGATATTAATATTGAGAATTTAGTGATGGATTTGATATAAACAGTCTTTACTGGATTATTTTGCATTCACAACTGAAGACTCTATGAATTGAATTTGAATTATTTTGTATTTCCGTTTTACAACATTGGAATAAAAATAAATTGTAAATAATGAGTTTTTCGAAAATTTTTTACCTAATATGTATCATATTTTCTATTATTTTTTTATTAATAAAACAAAAATTTTATCCTTGGTGTGAGTTGACCCCAATTTTCTCGTCAATAGACAACGTCCCTAACCACTACACCAATTTCACATACATTAATTGTTTTCGGACAAAACATACATACCTATATTTTAGTCAAATATTTCAGTTAAGTTGTTTTTTACTATTAAATAAATTTAAAGATTTATAATTTAAAATCGCTACTAATGAATGTTTTTTACTATAATATATCTTAATTTATTCAAGTATTTATTCTAACATCAGAAATTATTAAAATAAAATATTTTTGAGGTTATCCGTATAATAATGGCTAAAGTCAAATAGCCACGTCTAACGTCTAAAGGTATGAGACTGTCGATGGTGGTAATGCAATGTAATGTAAATTATAGGTTTCTATGGATTATTTCCCACCTCTACGAGTTTTATTTTTTTTTTATTTCACAAGGTAACTGTGTTTTCTATCTCTTACGTTAAAAAGCCGGATGGTAAAGCACTCATCACTGTATATGG